CACTTTTCTAATAAAAATGGTGGGGGTACTAGTCATCTAGATAGACATTGGAAAGCATGTCTACCATTGCGCCAAGGTGGGAGTGTTGACTCCCGTCAACAAACACTATCACTTACATCACAAGGGTTGTAAAATTTTACATACGATGGACAATGTGCTCGTGAGGCACTAGCTAAACTTTTAACTCGTGCCGAATTACCTCTTTCTTTTACAGATGATGCTGTTGGGAATGGTGTCTTAGAAGCATGGGATGTAATAGGATATTTATTATTTATTTAATAAAAGAGTTTATTCATCATTTTATGTGTATATATTTGTGAATATTTTATGAATATCAAATGAAAATTATGTGATTATTTATGTGACCTTAAACATTGTATATAAATGTTGTATGCGAGAGGATAATGTTTGAGGATAATAATAAAAAAGTGATGTTCGTAATAAATTTAATTAAAGTTTGGAAACTTTGATTAGAATATTGCTAATACATGTCATTCCCATTTAGAATGGAACGGTGTTATCCGCACTGTTAATATGATGAGATATTGAATGAGTGTATTACGCATAATGAGATTATGTGGAACAGGGACACAGACACAATATGAATTTCTAATAATTTTTGTTAAGTATAGAAATTCTAATTGAGTCTACCGATGGTCATATATAGAATAATCTTAATTCTGAGTTCTTAACAAACTCCTATTTATGGATTTGTGTCTTTTAATTTACTCGGTACGGATTCTGAGACCCTGAATCCTATTCTTTGTATTTTGGAGACATGATGAAGTAGGTAGCCGAGAAAGTTATTATACGAGATGGAATCCATTCCTTCTTGAGAAAGAAGTAGATAAATGATTCTCTTGAGTATTGATTCGGTACTTAGATTTGTAAGAGCGCTATGGTTCATGAATGTGCTTTATGAATCATTATCCATTAGAGAATCAATGGTACTCAAGGATGAAGATATAATTAGAGAGGTTAACAGATTTTACCTAGCTCTAATTATGAATTATTTATGGAGGATTGATCTATATGCAGTGACTATATCAAATGGACACTTCACAGTTTATAAGTAATTTATGTTTATAATTTTGAGAGTGCAATTCCAAGTGTATAGTGGAGTAACTATTAGAATTAATAGAATTAATTAATTAAAGTGTTTAATTAATTATTAGTTTATTAGAGCTTAGGATTATAAATCCATTAGTCCCCGCGTCGTCCTTGTAATTCTACCAGACACAAAGGGCAAAAGGAGAATTTTAGAATTACAGAATTCTAAAATTAAACACTCAAAAATAATTAATTGAGCATTAATTATTATTTAAATAATGTGATTATTTAATTTGAATTTGAATTGTGAACATAATTTAAATTTATCCTTTTAAACTTATTTGATAAGTTGTTCAATTTAGAATTCAAATTAATTTAAGTTTGACTTAAATTGAAATTTGAATTAAAAATGGACTATAGGATAAAGGATGATTTTCTCTTCCTTCCCTATCTTTAATTGGTGCCACACAGGGATAAGAATCTCTACACATGGACGGCCACATTAAGGATAAGGAAGAGGAGATTTTGTTCCAAATTCAAATATGAGATAATTAACAAGCTTTATCTTGGAAATAGAGATTAGATTCCTTTTAGAAGTTTGACTTCTACTTTATATATAAGAGAATGATAAAAAATTGTGAGACACAATTTTTGACCTATTTTTCTAAGTGTGGCCGAAATTCTCTATAGAGTGAGAGGAAAAATATTTTTTCTCTAAAAATTTCACATCGTGCATGCGTTGGTGTTTGTGAAAATTTGAGTGTTTATTCTAACCCGTTTTGTCTCAGGTGTGCCCACACACATGTCTTCGTAGATTCTAAGAATTGACGAGGAAGACATTGGTTTTCTAAACACAAAGCTTTGAAGCAAGGATTGTTCGAGGTCAAAGAACTCAAGTTATCATCCTAATCGGCCTCCAACTATTATTCCTAATTGAGTTCTTAATAAATAGATTAATGTGATTAATTTATTCGTGCATAAATTAATATAATCTATAGAGTATCTCAAAGGTTTTATGAAAATTTTTGTTATACTTGATCCGTTATCCCCACGCTTCCGCATCCGAATTCGATTCGGAAACCAATAGATGCAACGTTTGAAGAATTCATACAAATGACCTTCTACCCACAATTTACATGGTTAAGTAGAAACACAACTCGTTCTGATTGCATGAAAGTGTTTTATGCAATTAGACAATCTCTAGTTGATAATTTTAGGTCTTTTAATGCTACTATATCTTGTACTTCTGATCTATGGGAGGGGTGCAATAAAACTGGATATTTATGCGTCACGGCGCATTATGTTGACGATGAATGAGTTTTAAAAAAGTGAATAATAGGTTTTCGTTTATGTCCATTTCCTCATAAAGTAAATGCTATTTTTAGAACAATAATGGAAATTTTGGGGTTTTATGGCATAAAAGATAAAGTTTTAACTATTACTTTTGATAATGCGTTAGCTAACACGACTGCAATTAACATGTTTAAACATAGTTTGAAACCAGCGTTTAGTGATGAAATTTTTCATCAACGGTGTCACATAATAAATTTAGTAGTACAAGCAGGAATTGAACATGTTTCCTCTAATCTAACAAATATTAGAGAATATTTATCCTTCATATCTAGTTCTGGAGCTCGGCTTCAAGAATTCTGACAATATTGCAGGAATAGCTAGATGCGCCCATGAAAGTTTCCAACTGATGTGAGACATAGGTGGAACTCCACCTACTTAATGTTGAAGGCTGCACTTCCGTATCAACAGCTCATCACAACGTATGTGAATAATAAGAACGATCAAATTTTAATTTTTGATACAGATTGGAACATTAGTGAGTACTTTTTAAAATTTTTAGAAGTTTTCTACAATGCTACTAAACTACTTTTCAGAGTTTATTATCCTACTTCACATTTAGCTTTGCATCAACTTTTTAAGATTTCAAAAAAAAATTTCTTATTATAGGGATACTGAACTTTTTGAAACTATAGTTAAGCGAATGGAAGCTAAATTTAAAAGTTATTGGTCCGGTTGTCCTATGTTATATACATTAGCAACCATTTTAGATCCTAGATGCGAAGTAGATGGGACCGAATCATTAATGACTGCGATGGCAAAAAATTCAGGTATTGATATGCAGCTAACTATTACTGATGCTAGAAAAATGTTAGAAAAATTATTTGGTTTATATGAAGCAAAATACGGAACATGGCAAAAAGAATAGGGAACTTCGACGTCAACTACCAGTTCAAGGCCTAAACGCTCATCGTGGAGCTTCTTGAAGAAGAAAGAGAAAATGTCAGGATCGTCATTAACACAAGCGTCTACCGAACTGGTAAAATATTTTGAATCAAATTTTGTAATCGATGACAACAAACTGGACATCTTACAGTGGTGGAGGAGCAAAACCGATCATTTTCCAACACTGTCCATAATAGCCTATGACATTCTGACAACTCCAATATCAACTGTAGCATCGGAGCAAGCATTTAGTGCAAGCAACCAAATTCTTGATGAAAAGAGAAGCAGAATATACCCGGATATCTTGGAGGGGCTAATGTGCGTTAAAGACGAGAAAGATGCCAGAAGACAAAAATAACAATATACAGATGATTCAATTCAAGAATATTTTTCTAACTTAGACATAACAAAATCTTCTAGAAGCACTTAGGTTTTGTAATTTACTTATCCTAGAATACTGCACTCTTTTTTCCTTCGCTAAGGTTTTGTCCCGATCTCCCCAAAGTTTTTAACGAGGCAATCATTTATGTGTACTTATTCGTATTATCTCAATTTAATAAAATCACATATTTTGAGGGCATATGATATATTTTCTTTTTTTTTAATTAAAGATTGCTAAAAAAATTTAAAAGGGCTAAGGCCGGTCCGTGAAGAGCCTAGGCCCAGCCCTGACCCTTATGAACTAGAGCCGAGGACCAGTGCCGGGCCTAAGGGCTTCTCCTCAAGCCCGGTCTTGGCACGGCCCTGCACTGTGCAAGGTCGTGCCAGGCACGGCCTAGGCCCGCCACAAGCCTGAGATTAGAAGGCCGACACAGACCTTTTGACATATCTATATAAGCCCCATTCAAATCTTGAGATTTTAGTTACACATAAATCTCAAAAAAGTCGCCGGATGTAGCCATGTAATAAAAGCAGAAAATGTTTCAATGGATGATTTATCAGGTGCGATTGGAAGATTTAATTTTTGTATGAAAATGGACATGAAAATATTTTTTTAATCACAGACATAAATCATTTTTGAAAATACGTTTTATAGTTTTATCAAGAGATTGTTTTCAGTATAAAAAAACTCATTAATGTCTCTCTCTACTCAAAAGAAGAGAAAATAAAAATAAAAAATGAAAAATGATTAAAAGTCGTGTTTTATTTCTCTCCCATTTTACATAAACCAAAAAATCATTTTCATTTATTTTTTTGTCTTTAATTGTACCAAACGTTGTTTTAAAATCGTTTTAATTTTCGTTGTTATCGAAAAACGTGAAAAATAAAAGCAAGAACAATTCCAAACACGGAAATCATTTTTAAGCCTTATTTAATGGTTGAGACTCAAGTTACACATACATCTAAAAAATGTAGGATGTACACTTGCCTTGCTCCTATCTTATATGAAAATGTATATATATATATATATATATATATATATATATTAGGGACGAATTTTTAATAGTTACATTTTTATCGATAGTTACTATTAAATATAAAAAATATAAAAATTTAATGACGTAACGTGATAAAAATCTAATATCATTAATTATATTATTTTTTTTTCAACTATTTAATTTATTACGACCGTTAAATTAATATATAATAACTATTAAAATCACACTTATATATATATATATATATTTATATATCACATACTGATGGTTACAACGGTGATGTAACAACACATATATGAGAAATTAATAGAGTATAAATGTGTCTTTTCTAAGAAGTTAAGAACTCAACTGAATTTCATTCTCTGCTTTTTTTTTTTTTTTTTTAGATTCTCTATATATATTACAGATGATCTCCAACAGAATCACAACAGAAAGAACAAGTACTACATACAGAGTGTTCTCTTTTTCTCGTAGTAGGAATATCCTAACACTCAACAGAAACCATAAAAAGAGAGCGAGAGATAGTGGGAGAGTAGAAAACTGAAAAGGGAAGATTGAGTTTTGTGGATTCATTGCCTTATTTGGCCAAAACAAGACATTCATTTATTTCATCAATTTTTTTTAAGCCTTTGCTTCTACTGGAGTTTGGCTCCTGCTAGCAACGATCTGCTCGTATAGATCTCTGATCTTAAGTCCGATTATGGTTTGGAAAAGACCGGTCCCGTTGTTGCTTCCCGGGAAGTCGGAATGCTTCAACATTTGTTGGGTGACTTCTCCATAGAACTTGGTTGAGATGTTGCTTAAATGGCTCTCCACATAAATCAGCTCATCTAATCTGTCAAATTGCCCATCCATTTCCAAAACAGACACCTAATGCAGAACCAAGAATTTTTTAATTAGTATGAACAACCTGTTATCCATAATTAATTAAAATAATTTGGTCATCCAAAACACAGTACACAAACTGATTTTTTTTTCCCATAAAAAATGGGAATCACTGGTGTCAAACCCTAAATCATTTTTGAAATTTATTGAGACCGCAGGTGGAGTGAATAGGTCATTAGGTCATAATCAGTCCATAGTCTCACTGACAATCTCCAGAGATTGATGTAAAGAATCAAACCACTCATGGATGAAAAAGAGAGCCATAGAGTGATCGTCCCGGCCGCTATACTCTACCGCTACCAAAATGGTAAACTGCTATAGTGCGTTGTGTTTCAAAAAAATTTGAGCAATGGTCCACCCTCATTTTTTGCCATAAGATTGATTAGAGAATTCATATTTACAACCTAAGGACTCTTGACAACCTATTCTAGACTTTAAAACAAACTTGTCGAAAATTATTACAAGAAAGATAAAAATTAAGGAAAGTAGTAAGGAAAAAAAAAACCTCATGGCCGTAGTAGCTGTCAGGACCGTATGTGAATTTGATTCCGGGGTACGAGCAGGTGAGCTTCCTTCCACAGGGTATCCATGAAATAGTTGAGCCTTCATCAAACAGGTAAACAGGGCTGAAATACTGCACCCCTTCTTTCATGATCAACTTGACTCTCAACACCTTCCCTTCATTGTCATCCGGAATGAGTTGAGTTGGGAGGACTTCGATCACAGCATCTGCGTATTGCTTCTGAGGATCTGCACCACCAAGCACAAGCTTACACACATGGCCAATAAGATAAACAATCGTATTTCTTTAGCGGTTAAATCTTTATGCAACGCAACTCTTGTTCTAAGCGCACTTACTTTTTCTGGCCAAAAAGGTCATTAAATGAGGGTCGTTTAATATCTTACTATTTATAATCAGTGGCAGGGTCACTTATAGTAGGAAAATGTACCCCATTCAACTTTTGAAATTTTAAATTTCTCTCCGAGTTTTTGAAAAATTTCAGTTGTGCCCTCTATATTATGAAAAAAAAAAATTATATATCTCCCTTTCGATTTGAAATTTATAACTATATCCTTACTTGATTAAAAAAAAAAAAAAAAAAAATCTCTTATTTTTTTCCACAATGTCCCCACTGACAAAATGTTCTAGCTCGGCCATTGTCTGTAGTAGCTAGGGGTTTGTAATTTGACATGGAGAAAAATCTTGTAGCAATGACAAAACAAATGCATAATAACTGAACCTTGAAGAACATCTATGAGTGGAAAATTTGTCAACTATTTTTATAAATAAGGAACTATTGATCATGATCAGTAGCAAATTTTAACATTTTGAAATAGATCATTACCAATATAAGCATCGAAATCGGGCTTCCGGGCTTCGATACTGGCCTTGATGCTTTCAAGACTGTGTCCACGCTCTGCCATGTCTCTCTGCAGTTGTTTAACATCATCAGATGATCATCACAAGATTAAACATTAATGAGGAGAACTTGCTGACATTGGAAGCACGTAAAAATGGGAAATTTTTTTTACCTGAATTTTCCATGCAAACTTAACCTCATTACTGATGTCCAAATAGATACTGAAGTCCAAGAGGTCCCTCACTCGTTCATCATACCTACAAATTATTGGGGGGGAAAAATCACTTAAATATGTGCTGAAACTATAAACATTGTATAATAAATTTACTGGATCAAAATTGACAATTCTTTCATAAATATAGCTAACGAAAAATATTGGAAACCAACATGCAAATCTAGCCCCATTAAGGGATATAACAATTTTTTTATTATTAATTTTTGTGTCCTCCGCTATCTACTATACCTTGGTTTTGATTTTTGAAATTAATTGGCATCCAGATAAATCTTGTTAAATTAATTATTTATTGAAAGTATGGCAATTTTGTTAAGGCCCTGGCCCAGCAAGGAAAAGATGACAACGACCCCTAAAACTCCTATGTCCTCACACACACAATCTCAGTATAGAACTTAGATTATCTCAATATTATATCCATTATCAAAGAGTTCAGGAATTTCGCCCACCACTACAATCGTATAAATGATCTATCAATTAATTAATTAATTCTTCTTATTTTTTTTCTTTAATAAATAAAAGGAACAACCATATATATACTACCTCCTGATTTTGACTTAAGTCTGAAAAATTAATTTAGGTAATAAGAAACATGTACATTAAAGAGACACAAATACGCGCGCATGAATATCCTAGAAGACAACAAATTCAGTTTCATGGAATCTTCTTTTTTTTTTTTGCTTTAAAAATGCAAATAATAGCTCCAAGATTTCATTATAAACAGGTGTAAGAGAAAGAGAAATTCCATGAAACAGATGTTAGGACACTGAGATGCAAGAACAGATGTTATAAGCAGAAAGAAAGAGAAAGTGAATTCAATATGCATAGACAGATGTTATAAGTATACATGCACGATTAGGAAAAAAAAGAGTATACATGCAGAACAACAAATCATTAACATATTTATCAACCCCATTTTTCCTTTTTTTTTTTTGAAGAAAAAACCAAGAGAAATCAAAAATTGAACCTTTTTTTTTTTTTGTTTTTTTTAAAGTAAAACTCCCATTGTAGAAGAGAAACAAATCATTATTAACCAACCTTTTTTTTCCTTTAAAAAAATAAGAGAAAAATTAAAAATTGAATTGCTTCTGTTTTTTTAGTAAACTCACATTGTATCAACTCTTTCTTTTCAAAAATCAAGAAAAATTGAGAATTGAATTGAACTTTTTTTTTTTTTTTTAGTAAACTCTGCTGTTTCTTTTCCTGAAAAATCAAGATAAACTAAAATTCAGATTTTTATTTTTTGTATTTTTTTTAACTCACATTGGGTGGAGTCCTTCAATGACCAGAATCTTGGGTGGCTTGATAAGCTCAGGAGGGTCAAGAAGTCCAGTGACATGGTTGTAAATGGGCTTCTCCACAGCCACACCTTCTTTGATGGTCTTGACTTGCTCATACATAAGATCAAAATTGTTGGCTCTTGGGTCAAGAGCAGTGACACCCTTTTCTTTCCTTCCAGTTCTGTCCAAGGAATGATAATCATCAAGACATATAACAGTTGTTGTGTCACTTATCAAAGTGTTGGAATCTGGGTTGCCTCCTCTTGGCGGCTCAGCAGCGCCTCCAAACACACTCGTTAGCCTCCTCATGAAGGTGCTCTTCCCACATCCCGAGTCGGCGGCGAGGCCGATCACCACCGTCTGATCCGCCGCGCATGTAATTATCGAGTACGATGGCCTGCTGAAGCCTGAAGATCTCGGCCTGTATGTATTGGTGCTGTTTCTTTTGTACAACACCACTTGTCTTTGGTGGAATCCCAAGTGGGATTTTGATGGTTTGGAGATTGATGAGCATGTGGGGTTCAGTTGGGTTGTGTAAACTGTGCAGATTGCCATCTTTTATCTTCTTATTCTTCTTCTTAGAAATGGAGTTTTTTTTTTTTTTTAAGGGAAGTTGAGAGAAGAAAAGATGGCTTTGAAATGGGTGTTCTTTTGGCAGTAGTAGGAGTTTAGATGGTTTTTGGAGGAGGCATATAAGAAATGGAGTTTTGATTCTTTGATTTGATTTCTTCTTCTTCTTTTTTTTTTTTTTTTTTTTGTTTTGCTTTTTTCAAAGGGGAAAAGAAAAAAAAAAGAAAAAAAATAGTTTGGGATATTACAAATAAGAGGCTCTAAAACGGAAACTGAAGGTAGGCAGTTTGGGAAAGGGAAAAGAAAATTGTTTGCTTGTGAGATTGTGATGATGAGTTGATGAGTTGATGAGTGATGTGTCTTTATTTTTTTATTGGTTTCTGTGACTACCCCTTGTTTTTGGAGTTTGGACAATTAACTTGAAAGTAAATTTGAGGTGGGAGAAGAAAGGACTTGAATGGGTTAAATAAAGTGGATGGTGGGTAAATTAGTCATCCAAAATATAACAATTTTTGAAGCTGAAGAAAATTTATATATAAAAAAAAGAAAAGAAAATTAAGATATTTTTGCATATTTATTGAAAAGATGGGAATGGTATGTGTGATGAACATAGGCATGGGAGAAGCTTGGTGGTTATTGTTGCAGATTGGATATTTGGCATGCCACGTGGCATAAAGGGAGTGGCTGGTTGGAGATTAGGGGTGGAAGGTGAGGAATGGAAGCGATATGGGGGATGGAAGCTATGCCATACAATTCAATTTTGGACTGTGCTTGTATTGAACTTGTGTTTGTGAGAGTAGTATTGTGTATATTAACAATTCAAGAAAAAAAAAATCGAAAGTGCTATCTAGGACCACAAAAAAAGCTTGTATTATAAGTAGAGAGTAAAACAGAGAGAAAATTTGACTTAAAAGGTAGAAAAATGTCCCCTTATTCTTTGAGTGACTGAAATTTTATTTAATTTCTTGGAAAAATGAAAACCCAAAAAAAAAATCAAGTGGACTCTATGTGACAAAGAATTTATTAATAATTAGGTGTAAAAGCAGTGTCTTTCATAGGAGTACATAGTTGGAGGAGAATCAGCAAATATATACATAAAATATTCAGTGGAATAAGACTTCCATTGTATGAAACTGACGATAAAACTACCCCATTCTTCGAAACTGTGGTGCATTCTACTGTTTTTATTACTTTTTTTTTTTTTTTCCAGATTTGTAGACCATGAGTTTGCATGTACACGTTAACATTGTTTTGCAATACTTTCTACGACACTTTTTTTTTTTTTTTTGGAAAAAAACATATCATTAATACTGTCATCCTCCTCTCATTACCTTCGTTACTTTAGAAATTACAGGACCCACCAATGAAACGAAAAATACTTTGTACAACAATTGTTCATTCTTATTGAGGTCCATCTGCTTTGAAATGGTTTTGGGGAAAATTAGTGGCAGCTGTTGGGTTTGAAGGGTGAAAATATTTTTTTGGCCAGGAAAAAAAAGGAAAATATAGCACCAAAATTGTGGGTGGTGAACCATAGGGTGGGAGAAAGGGGTTGCAAATTGCATATAAATCAAAATCAATTTAGCGAGCAATTCATAAAGTGCTTTTCTCTTTCGCTTTTTCCTTAAGGAAAAAAAAAATCTGTGATGTACATAATGATGTTTTACAACTTGAAAAGTAATTTCACTATTAATTAAACGTCTCTTTTCTCTTGCAGACACAAGTAAATGACACCATGCAGTTATTTAATTATATTTAACTCGATCGCAATCTAATGGACTACAAGTGACGAGGTGAAGTTTCAATGAATCTTTTCCACATTTGCAAACATCAAATGCATATAAAGTACGTAAATATACATATATATATATATATGAACTATAGCATGCGTGCGTGCGTGCATGCATACATACATATGTGTGTACATTACGAGTATATTACACATTACAAGTATATATTCCTTATAAATAGTTTTCTCTTTAATTTGAAGGTTGAATGGAGCTCAAACTTCATGTATGTTTTACGGCCATCTAAGAGGTTTAAACGAATATATAGTGAAGTTAAGATTGAGCTTCAATTTGAAGTAAATTGAATAAAGAGTGTAGAAAATCCACAAGAGAAGCCAATTAGATATTAAAAAGACCTCCAATAAATTTTTATTATCTTTTTTCTCTATATTTGGGCAATAGAATATGCCTACTACCACGAATAATCAAGCAAAATTCGACTTAACAATCCAAAAATATAACCAGTTAAAAAAAAAAAAAAAAAAAAAAAAAAATTAAAAAAAAAAAAAAAAAAAAAAAAAAAGTTTAAGAAGCGTGCTACCAAGAAAATTTGTAAAATTATACAAATTTAAGTTTGTCAATGAACAAGCAGATAATTTTAACAAAAAAACAAACTAAAAAGTTTAGTTATCGCCAAATAGATATTAATAGATATGTCGCATAAAAACGCACTAGCTAATGGTCCTTGAACAATAGCAAATTGCTCGATCCAGAAAGTGAGTCCAACTGATAGGAACAAGTGAGTGTTTGGAAGTGTCGAACTGTTTCATAACTATAGTAGTTAAACTTCCTGTCTTTTTTTTTAGAAACAAATATAGACAAACTTGATTGAATATAATGAAAATATGATGATTTCGGAAATTCCGAGCCAGTACAAAATTTTTTCCAAGTCTGTCTAATTTTTCGTTACTTTAATGTTTTTGTTATAGAAACACCTATTACTAGTGCACATTTCTAAACATCAAATGATATGCAAATAAAAATAGTACGTAAATATGATAGAAATATGACAATTCCGATTACACTCACTAAATTCAAATTTATATTCTTGCAAATCTAATACTAGTTTATTCTTTTGTATTTGTCATAAATTTGAAGTTTAAACCTAAGTAATTGTAATTAGTGCAAATTACCCACTACATTAAGCCAGCAACTCATATTTAAATATGAAAACTTGCTTTTACTGTACAGAATATGTATATGTAATATGACTAAGATTCCTTTTTTTTTTTTCCCCCCCTTACAAATAGATAGGGATAATCTAGTCGACAAGCCCATACATGAACTTTTACTCACCTCACTTGCTTAAAACTGCCAAATATGCAGATACGTACTGAACTTTCTTTGATGTCATGAATCTTAATAAATGTTTGGTTCCTTTCCTCACCTAGAAGAACAAATTATCCATTCACGCACATAGAGAGTTGCTGACACCAAAATTTGAATTTAAATAACATATTATCCATCTAAATTTAATAAGATCTTGTAAAGTGCCCTCAAATTAAATTAACACTACAGATGTTAATTGATATTTAAGAAGATTGTCTATAAAATAAACTCCGAGCCTTTGGACAAACAAAAGAATATATCATAGAATTGGATGTCTAAAAGAAGAAAAGATTTTCTAATACATGAAAAACATACTAGATACAATATATTTAACATACTAATCGTTGTATACTAATGCAATGATGATTATAGTGATAGAACAAACACAATATGCTGAACAAGAATACAATAAAAGGTAAAACTCTCCCGAAAGCTCTAGACTCTACACGGTCATGGTAATAGGATCGTGACTCCATAGTCCGTACATCTCCACTTCACTTGTGCCCCCTGAAATACAAGTATACTTTCTGCACAAACCAACGAAACAAAATAAACCAATCAGTAGAAGTGAGCACAAAAATATCAATGCGTCATGTAATAATATGATGGATCTGCCCTAGAACCATTAGTGACCAAAAATATTTTTCTAATTGTTTCTCATTATGAAGACATATAAATAAATATTCTAATATTCAACGTATAACTTGAGTTAAACGTGAACACCATTTGCATCTCCAAGAATAGAGATACAAAGATGAATAAAAATAAACATTTTAAATAACAATCTAAACTTGCTAGAAAGTTACAAAATTTAACATATATGAAATGATGGTTGAACAAAAATCAACAAAATTATTTTATAATATATATAATAATGCTTGAAAAAAAAAAAAAACTTGAAATAACAAATATTCTTCTAGTCTGAAGTATAGATATAGTATAAAGTATACAGATTCACGTTGAAATATTTGTGAAAAATAAAATTAAAAAAAGGAGGCGTATGCCCTAATTCAATCACCAGTAGGCCTCTAATCCGAAAGAGAGTGGACAAGAAACGCTTCAAGCCTCGTCTACTGAGGCTTAAATAATCCAAGACTTATTACAAAATTATTTCAGCAATGCAATTAGGAAAAAAAAAAAAAAACATATTTCAGAAGAATGCGTCAAAAATGTTAAGTAGGATCATATTAAGAATTATTTTAGAGAACAAATCAAAGAAAAAAAATTTAATGATACATTTAAAAAATACAAAATTCTAGGAGTAGAAAAACCATGCAAGCAAGCATGCGTTCAACCTCCAAAGGTTGAAGCAGTAAATATAAACTAATTAAAAAAAAAAAAAGAACTTTGAATGGATTTGAGAAAGATCATCCCAATGGGACCTTTAATAAAATAAGTATTTATTATGACCATATTTGAAAAAAATAATATATTAAAGAACTCGAGACCATGATGTAAGATTGGCCTAACAAATAGAAAACTAGCACAGGTTGATGCTCATGTCAATAAAAATACGCCTTTTATGAGAACAAAGAGCTAAACAAAATGAAAACAACATGTTAAAGTATAAAACTATTGTTGACTCACTTCCTAACAGCTTAAGCTTTTGAGATGGATTGGTAAACTAACATGGTATCAGAGCGGGAGGTCCTGAGTTTAAACCCCCGTAATTACACTCTTTATCCCCATTTAAAATTGTCATCATGTGTTGGGTCTTTAATATATCTCAGATTTAAATATTCACGTGTTGGGCTTTCTAATTAATTTACCCACACAATTGCCCATTGTCCAGCCCACACGTGAAGAGGAGTGTTAAAGTATAAAACTATTGTAGGCCCACCTCCTAACAACTTAAGCTTTTGGGGTGGATTGGTAAACTAACACAACATATAATGAGAGCACCGCCTATATCTTGCAAGAAAAGGAAAAAAAAAAATGTTACCTGAAGTACCCACAAGCTCAGGAGCGATTCTAAGCAAAACAAGCCAAACCCAACCAAGTAGAATATCTGCAAGACGGAAAAGGATAACAATAGTTAATCACAACCTTCAGTGAAACTGCCTTCAAAGACGGAAGACAATTTCTTGAACAATCCCACTCATTCAGCACATCCTAGGAACCCAAGCAAGAAAACGAATAAATACTTCAAATGCCCTCTTGAATGGAAAAACTGAACTTTAAGGGAAACCCGCATGTGTGCGCGTGTACACTAGCACCATTATAGGCAAAGGGTAACCAAATTTAGTCAGGGACATTAAATCACAATCGACGGAATGAAACATTTATCTTCATGAACCACTAATGTCATCTCTCCACAATCTTCATAAAGCAACTGCCTTAGAAGTTAGATATCAACGAGTACGCACAACTTGTATAAAATTTCACGATGAGGAAATAGAAGACAAATTACAAGGCAAGCAAATAAACTTACCCCGACCAAGACATGGCCCGAGAAGAGATCAATTGCTGGGAGTATGCCACTGCATTAATCACGATAGATAAGAAAATAAGGGGAAGTTTAGCATACTGCATACATTAGAATAGCGTTATCACATTATTACTCCCAAACTTATGCTTCTTTCTCCACACTTCAATTGAAGCATTAGCAGCATTAAAACAATGAACAATAATTCCTACAACAAAATTTTATAGAGTAAATAAGTGAGAGAGGACACACCCTTTAGACACAGTGTTAACTTTGTACGAAGCAATGTCCTATTTTTTTAGTTGAAATCAATGTATAAAATGAGAATGCAAAAAGAACTTTGCAAACAGTGTATGAAAGTAAACTAAACCGTACTTGAAGTTATTTCATTCATGCATTTGATGTATAGAGAGCTAAAACAATTGCGGAATAAAATTTATGCAAAGAAAAGTCAATTTGGGTATGCAGTCCAGTATGATGATTATACAGTCATTTCAAAGTGAATATGATACTTTATTATTTTAAGAACAGAACGCAAGTCCTTGGCTAAATTTCCTCACTAATTCAATAATATACCCATTTTCAACAAGTACCCAATTATGAATTGCACTTTATGTCAAAATATACTTGTGAATTGGATTTTACGTTAAACTATTAGGGATATTAGCCCCACCGTAAAAAGCTCAATCTTGTCAACTTAAAAGCAAACGAGAAATAGAAATACTTACGTCAAAGACTTTCCATGGAAGACTATTGGAGGAGCAATAGCAGCGAAGATGCAAAATCCAATATGGATCTGCAACATCTCAATTGGTTAATATATGGAACCCAAAAGAATAAGTTGACTAATAGATGATGTGTGATTAACAGGTATAATGGGACGTACCAAGTAGAAAAGGAAAAACCAACTAAATTTGAAGGCACTATCGGTCCTGAAAGTTGGAAATAGCATGTTATTCATTTGAGGTAAAAACTCATCAACAATTGTCAATTGAACTTATCAGACAGAAAATGGAATAAAACGGCTCCCTTATGTCTTTTCTTCTCTATTGGATTAAAACTAGGAAAAGAGGCCAAGGGCTATTGACTATCGTCATCATATCACATCTGAAAGCCATTTAAACAGCTACTTGAGAAAAGCAATTGCAAGTTACCCTAAATTTGATGAGAACTGTTAAACTTTCTAGGCAATAATGTCATGACTGGGGCTAAATTGTCCTAAAGCGTTTCTTCTAAATATCAAAAGACAAGGTAAACATGATGGACATGCTATAGACAGCCAAAACAGCACGGCGAAAAAGGAATGTTAGTGACATTCCATAATCAGAAATTACTACTACTCCAACCGTATAGACAAAGAGGGATATCGAGCAAGAAAGACACTCCATCCATATAAAAAAGCAAGGCCTAAACATGCAAGATTACAGAAGAGGGATATCAAGTAAACCGCGGGACATTTCAAAATGGTATGATATCATATTGATTGTTTTTTACAAGTATTTTGACAATACATGAAAAGCCAAAGCCGTACGCAATTCTGAAATTTGATCCTTGATATTCAAAGGCTTCCTGATTCCTCCTCAAAAAAGTTGCAGATTACGTGATACGTTAATCTGGTATTGCCTTTAATTACCTATTTATTGAATCAAACAAGGTTTGATCGTTCTACTATATACCTAAATAAGCTAGAATGTATATAACACTAGCAAGATTTTAAATCATATCAAGGCATAAACATTTTGATCACTCACCTCATTGCACGATACAACGGCCTATACCAGAGTACATATGAAAGTGGGATTCCGAGAAGAGCATAGATTGTTGCAAGAAAAAATATTTTTACACCTGCAGATTGTAAACCATCAGGAGGTTTGAATTACAACAAAGCACAGGTGCTGCTGAAATTTTTCCTTGGTGTTCAGTCATCTTTGAAAAGTAAGTGCTTACCTCCACCTCTAATCCAACATACAATCACCGCAATGACGTTGAAAACAAGGCAAAGGACAATACCTGCATAAACATTACGACAGGAGTATAAGAAGTGGTAAAACAATTTAAAGTTCTGTGCGTCAATTCAACTTGGAAAATTGGCTCCACAATTTTTTAAACTAACAAGATAAGGGAGGCTGGGAGACAATTTACAGCATGGTGTCCATTGACTGGTGAAAATGTAGGGTGCATTTGGATTTGGCTTCAAAATGATTTTGTTTTTAATAAAAAGTAAAAATGAGATTGTTTTAAAAATCATTTTGGGACTGATTTTAAAATTGCATTTGGTTAGTTTTTTAAGAGATTGTTTTGAGTATAATAAAAAAGTGAAGGCGGGCCTTGGCACCGTGGTGGGAGCACTTGCGTTTGCACCCGGGGTCCAAGGTTCGAATCCCGGAAACAGCCTCTCCTTCGGGGGGGTAAGGCTGCGTACATATGGGATTGAGCTTTCTCCCGAACCTGTCATAGTATAGGAGCCTCTTTGGCACTGAGGTCCGCCTATTGTTGATAAGTACTAAAAAATGAAAACAGAAAAGTGAAAACAACTTTCAACTGTTTCTAATTCCTTCACAAAAACCATTCTCACTGTTTTCATTTTCAAAACATTTGCTTAACAAACGTCATTTCGTTTTCATTCTCATTTTTTGCTTCTCAAAATACGTGAAAACCGTTATAAAAAATGGTTCCAAACACACACGTAATCTTACAACAAATAACAATGGAACTGAAAATCACATGAACCAAGAAGAGGAAGAGTTGTTGTATACATGAACCATGAACCTAGACTATCCTTGCAGAAAGGAAAAACAAAAGAATAGAGAAAAAAAGAAGACAAATAAACCTCACTGGTAGAATGACGCAGAGAAAACGACATAGAAATCATATCCATAGGCTAAGTTCAATTAGATGTATCCGAGAAAAATGATATTAAAGAATAAATTATTGGCAATGAAAAATGATTGTTACCTTAGGTGGCAACTGGCAATTTGGGTTCAACGCGATAGCACAACTCGAACTCGACCCAAATTGATAACATGATTGTCATGAAATTGACTCGAATCAAAACGATTTATTAAGTTTTTTAGTTTTATTAAAATATAGAAAAATATTTTTTAAAGACTAATTTTAACATATTAAATTTAAATAAAATGAAAATATAAGATTGATGGCCTAATTTCACAGAGTAAAGTAGAGATAAATAGATTAAGTCAACTAAACTCAAATTGTTTTAATTTGTTGTGACAATATGGATTCAAGTGACGTTTTCACTAAAAAGGTGACACGAGTCAACTCGAAAGCAACATGAAGTCAAAAAAAAAAAAAGAACAGAATAAGCAAAATTAAAAATTTAAAAATTAAAAAAAAAAAGAAGGTAAGAAACGCCTTACTAGTAGAACTATTCAGCAAACCGTACCTAACCAACTTGCAAAAGCCAAATACTGTAGTCTTTGAGCGTGAGCTGGTATTTCATTAGCTATATCATGATGGATTATAGGGAAGAACGGAGGCCAATTTTTATCATCAGTAGGAACGCCAGCTGACATAACAGAAGGAAAATTAGTTACCCTCTAAGCTGAACATTTAAAAAAAGTGCAAGAGGGCAACTTACTAACAATCAGATTTGAGGTTTACAATGCTTACCTTTAACAAGGGCATCTTCTTTCCTTTTTATTTCCTACAGAAGAATGTGGAAACGTAAGGAAGAAATTATTGCAAAAACATCCAACAGCTAATTACACAACTGATCTCATTAAAAAAAAAAAAAAAAAAAAAAAAAAAGAAAGAAGAAACACCCTAATAGATAAACAGTAAACAGGTCTGCAACAGCGAAAAGAAGAGGCAAAACCGTAGACTGGAAGCCAAGCACTCAATCCTTATCCAATACAAAGTAAAGAGGATAAGCAATCATCTATAAACATGAAAGGGAAAAGCATAACAAAATATGAAAATGAAAACGAAAACAAGAAAGAAAACAAGAGCACAAACTAAAGAGCTTGTCACAAGAATTGTAACCCAATGACATCCTTCCAATTTAAAACAATTATGAAAAAAGGAAAATCCTTGAAAGCTTTAATTCTATAATAGTAAACTAACCTTCTCCCTCCTTTTGAGATCTGCTTCCCAAGATGCAAGTTCTTTTGCTTTTTGCTTAGAATCCTATAACATACCAAACAATAAAACACTGAGCTCTCCCAATAGAATGTAAGAACTGAACGTACAACTTAACAATTCATTACATTCATTGTGTCCAGCGGTATATCAACCGTGGCATCATGTTTTTGCCCAAAACCGAGGGAATCAGATGCAGCTGGAGGAACACGTCCCTTTGATCCAGGAGCAGAAACGCCATTCTGCAGAGGTACGTCATAGACAGCATGGTGAAATATGTTATATAAACAATAATGCAAAAGCACGTACCTTCAACTTTAATTTGTAAAGCACAAAGCAGTAAGAGTAGCTAAGTATACATGGACACATATGTACAGTGCATATATATGCATTTTTCAATAATCTGTCACTGCAAAGGTAACAACATTTTAAATTATTTATTTATTTTCTTTAGTAAGATAAAAAACCCTTTAATTACATGCATGCTTCAATTACGAAGAAACAAATTAGGCTGCTTGGATGGATTTTCATTATTTGTTTTTGTTTTTAAAAGTGAAATGAAGGATGGGGATCTCATGATGCAAAAATTAGACGAAATCCCAACCTTTCATTTCACTTTAAAAACATATTAAAAATGCAGCCATGCAGAAATTTTCCATTTCTTTTTCTTTTATGTAACTATTACATTTGCGCTTAGCCTACACAACTACAAGATCCGCATTTTTTGAAGTGTAGAAGTAAATCGTCACCAAAGAATTTGTTTCATCCATGCTCGCCGACTATCTGCCATTAAGCAAGGTCCACTACAACCAAAACATCAACATATTCCTATTTGTTCATGGAGCAAATAGCATTCTGTTTTCATGAGAAACGAACACCTTCCCAAAGAAACAAAGAGCGGCCAAGTCACGTGGATGTACTTTGACATGATGGACTACGAGTCCAAGACAACCCATTTTTCAGGCATCTTGAACAGCCGTAGAATAATTCTGTTCATAAAACCGGAATAGTGCAATGATCAAGATTAAGAATCATTCCTATGCAAGGCATTGGATTCATCACAGTCCAATTAATGCTACAACATCTGTCTCAGAATTTCGATTTGGCTGAACTGCATAACACTAATTGAACTTTCATTATTCAAGAAACATCCAAGATTTGGGGAAACATCCCATTGGCATGGTATCACGGCAACTTGCACCCACAAAGCACAACTAGAAATAACACAGGAATTTTTTTTTTTTTGGCTCGATAAAGAAACAATAGTTTCGTCAATGAACGAATATGTACTCTTAGGCCAAAATAAAGAAAAATAGAATCATATTTACCTTTGTCTATTAACTTTCTAAAAACCCAAACTGAATTATCCTCCTATATTTTCTTGTTGTACTGTTCTTGACCATTTTCCTTAAAATTTGTTAGGATTTTCGACAGAAAAAGTATGTCTGATGTATACAAAGCAACTTTTTGGCTTCAGACTTCAACACCAAGGTCATTAGGATCTAAATTTTGAATTCTACGCATAACATAACACTAATTATTAATAATTAATTTCAGTTTTCAACTAAATAATAATTTTAAGTCGCATTTCTATATGCATTTAAGTGAATTTCTGCTCCGCTACGAATTAGCACTTTCAGATCCAGATCATAGAATCCACAATTTTGAAACCTAAAACTCAAAAACTCTCGAAATTTAACCACATCCAGAAAAATTGTACATGGAAACCTAAAAATGGAATACGATCTGCTCAAAATTGGGAAAGCGGAGAGAAAAAGAGAAAATGTCGGTGGAATTCGTATTACCGAGAATGGATTGACCTCCTCCTCGTCAAACGGGTTGGGATCGTGGTGCCGATTCATGGCGTCTCCGATTCCTTAGCTTTCGTTCCCAAATTTTTAGAGAGAGAGAGAGAGAAAGCGAGGAGAGAGAGTGTGTGAGTAACCCAGTGGTGGCTTCTGCGTGTTAAAAACACTTTTTTCTACCTGGCTTTTGCTTGCTAGCAACGCGGGATCTCATTTAGAAAAGAAAAATGTTTGGGAACAATTCAATTTCGGTTTGAATCTACCCGCGGAGTTGTGGATATTTACGATTTCTGGCATTGCGTGCGTGCTTTCTAATGTTTCTCTCTGGATGTTGATATACATGGATGACCATACAGATCCTATTTGTATCTAACCAATGAAAGAATACCACGGAAGACTCGGTAATTTTCCCATTTGACGTGGCAGTTTTTCATTTGTGAAAATAAGAGGTTTTGCTGATGACTGGTAGCGTCTGATGAAATCTTGTTCTGGTTTGTCTTGCGTTTTGGCTCTTTTGGTTCTCTCACCGTAATCATTACTTGGCGAATATACCCCTCAATCGACTAGTGACTTGGGGAACGTCCAAGGGGCATTTTGGGGTGAGGAATTTAGGTGGAATTTGAATTCCCATCCTTTCGCTTTTGTTTGCATTACTTAAAAACAAATTTGTGTACCAACTAATCATCATCATTATCATCATCAATTTAATAAGTGGTAATCGCATTTAACATCTCTCCAACAGGCCCTATAGAGTTCAAACGTGAGGGGTCATTAGTGCTGGGCAGTGTAGGGCACGGCCACACCCCTATGGCCGGCCCCTACCGCGTTTTAAAGGCCCCGGAGCCCTAGCTACATATCCTCGAGCACAAGTCTCGACCGAATGGCCTGCTTGATGCCTCCTTCCTCTGAGTAGGTGACGGTCATAAAAATAAAGTTTCAATAGATAACTTCTTTTTCCAAACATTTGCATTGATCACTGAGTTAATTAGAGTAACTGTTCATAGAACTACCATCATGCAAGTCTCTGAGTGCCAAGTGTTGATGGTGAATTTTAATCAACAAGGAATTATAACTCTCTGAGAACACTCGCACTAATCTCTCATGTATTAATTAGGGATTAACGGTGCTGAATGAGTAAATGAGACAAAGAGTTTATAGTGATTCGGCTAAAATTCTTTGCCTACATCCACTTGTGCATGCACTAATATGTTGTAGATTATAAGTTCTGTAGAAGTCTCTAAGTGAGAGCGTAAAAAACTTAATGAACTTTTATGGCTCTATTTATAGGCCTTATACATGTGAGAAACCCTCTGCACTTCTTGAGGAGATCAACCTCTATCCCTTAATTTGGGGATTTGGCAGCTGGATTTCCCTGATTATTGCTTCCCGGTCAGGTTAACCACTCTTTACCCAATGCCCTCCAATAGTGGCGGTAGGTGATACAGTGTATCTTCTCCAGGACTGACAGCGGATTTGACCGGGCTGATGTCTCGACGTCGAGTCCTCACCACATGGGCTGGGCCCTCGACGCGCGTCAGCGTACGTGACTTCTCGACGTCTAAAGGGCACTCTGGATACACTGGTTCCCTCGGCGTCGGCGACCGGTCCTCAACGGGGAGTCCTCCGCGCTTGTCACCCAAAGAAAAGGTCGATCCCCCGATCATGGTGTAACACCAAGATATAAGACCCACAATGCCAAGACAAGAGGGAGGCACTATGTTAGTCCAAAGAAAGAATATATGGTTCTAACCACGTAAATAATTTCTCAATCATAAACTTTATAAATAGGAGGATGACATGACCAAATAAGAATTTAAACTTTCACTCATCTACAATACTTCTTGCTTATATTCTATTTTGAGAGAGCATGTAGAGAATAGTTTGTGTGTACTTCTAAAAGTACAATGAAAAGCTAAACAACCATAGTAGAAGTAGGTCGTATTGAATTGAACCACAGTAAAGTAAACTATTGTGTCTTTTTTTTTAATTTGATTGCATTTTTATGTGTTTGTGGTTGTTTGATCTTTTAAATTTGATCTCAATCTAAAGAATTTGGTTCCTCCAATTTTGATTAATTTTGACATCAACGAAACCCCTACCCCCATAAAGCTCACCGTCATCATTGAACTCCCACCAACGCAGAACAAAACAAGGCCTTAATGAACAAATCCCACCATTAGTCTAGTGTTACCTAGAGAAATTTGAGTAACCAATATCTATGTATGGTTAAAGGCTAGATTTTGGTTTAGGAAAATGGAATTAAGGTACCATTCCAAAGGCATCACCGATGTCATTAGAAGGGCATTGTAGTAAATTTGTTGCAAAATACATAGTCATGTGAGGCACGTGAGGATGTACGTTTAAGAGTTGATGGACCACCACGTTTGGTGGATATTACCGATTTGAGCCATTTGACAACATTTACAACTAATTAAAGAGTCTAAGCACTAATTTTTCCAAATTAAAAGAATGGTAATTGGTACGGATGGTCTCTAATATTTTTAGTAGGTGACAGTTCTGTTTTTTTTAAATTTTGACAAAATAGTCTCCAACGTTATTAAATTGGTGCAATTAAGTCATTTCCGTCAAATTCTTAACAAAATGAATCATGTGCAGAACATGTGACCTAATTTAAAACGGTGTTTAAGTAAAATCAAAATCCTTTTCAATATAATAAAATCATATCAATTAAAAAAAAAACAACAAATCAATTTCTGAAAAAGAAAGGAACATAACTTTATACACGAGAAAAGTCAAATTAATAGATAAGGAAAAGTGAAACCTAACCGGAATAAAACTAGATCCATTTATGGGCAAAAGAAAAGCCACCAAACACATCATATATATTGATCTCATCGTCATCATCTTTATAACTAGCACGAAGGCATAATCGGTAATATACATCATCATCATCATCATCATTATTAAGTACCACCTAAACAAGAGACAAGAAACAACAAAGGACTCACTTTTTTTCTCCAGACACTTCCCCAAACAACAACAAAAAAAACACAAAAAAACCATATGTAGGTTTCCATCAATACGACAACATTCAGACAAACCCATAGATCTTGACAGCGATCTCCTTCGCCTTGTGCTTCTTCCGTTTGGCCTTGCCTGTCATAGTTGAATCTCCGATCGCCAGAATTAGCATAGGGGTTTTTTTGGTTGGGGACGGGGAAAATGAGGAATAACTCAGAGAAGACCCATGAATTGAAAAAGCCCTAATTGAAGCCTCAATGTCGCGATTCATGGTGAATCTTCAATCACTCCAAAAGAGATGGGTGGTAGGAATCTGGAGGCGGTATTGAGGCTCAATTCGACACTAGGTTGGGCTTGCGGCGGCGTTGGCAGATAAGGGTGTAAGAAATCACTCCGAACCCGATTAACCCGGCCTACCCAACCCTACCCTACCCGAAAATATAGGGTATTATTTTTTATTAATTTTTGACATGTTAAACCCTACCCGGCCGACCATGATATTGGTCCTAATGTAAAAAAAAAAAAAAAAAAAAAAAAAAAAAAAAAACCTACAGTCGTACTTTCTTGTTTCTTCCTTTGTTTCTTCTTTCTCGACCCCCTTGTCCCCTTTGTCTTTGCGTCGCTCTCTCAAGTTTATGACTCTGAGACTGAGTCTCTCAATTTTGGATGTTTCTTCTTCTTCTTGCTTCCCCCGTCGTTCCTCCTCCGCATCTCACTGCCTCTCCCTCATACCCTCTTTTCTCTTGTCTCGTCAGTTTGGGCTGTGCAATGGGAAGGCTTGCTCGTAACAAGGGTGGATTTGAAGGGGTTAGTTGGATTTTATTTTTTCCCCCTTTTCTCCTTTGAATTGCCCTGACAAGATTAGGTTGGCTGTGATTTGTGCAAGGTAAGTGTTTGGCTTGGTTGTGATTTGAGATTTGGTCGTGTTTGCAAGGTAAGTATTGGTTGTGATATTCTGGATGTGCTTTTTGGTATGAGCATTCGCAAAGGTAAACCCATGGACTAAAAGCAAATTTGCTTTGAGTTTATCTAGGTACACGAGAGTCTTGAATTGAAAGTTAGTTTTACATGGTATTCTGGACAAGAAGCATAATTCTCAATGGAATGAGAAGCAATTTTTTTCCCAATGTTTTTTTCTCAAGTATAACTGGTTTGAGACGCAAATTTTTAAATTTTTTTTTTAGTTTTTTAAAAAAATTGATGGTTTATCCGAAGTAACCCGGCCAACCCGAGATTACCCGAGGTAATCAGATGGTGTACGGGTTCTGGGGGCAAGTAGCTTGTTGCGGCCACTTTTGTCTCAGCCCGATTCTTGCGAGCTAGTCCAACTCTTTGTTAAAATTCTACCCTACCCAGCCGAATTTCACCCATACTGATAGATATGGAGGCGACAACTCTTGTTAGGGTTAGGGGTTAGGGGTTGGATTGGACTTTGTAGAAGAAAGAAGTTGATTTTTTATTTTTGTTTAAAAAAAAACAAGTTTTAGTTGGTTCTTGTGAGACATGAGGGTATTTTTGTATTTTCATCAAAAAAGAGATGCACATGATCATCACGTGAAGGATTCTGTTAAAAATTTGACGGAATTAAACGAAAAAGACTTAATTGCATTAATTTAATAACATTGGGGACCATTTTACCAAAATTAAAAAATAAGGGCTAAACTATCACCTACTAAAGAGGTTATAGACCATCCGTGCCAATTACTCTCAAAAGAATAAGATGAAATCCTCACTTATGAAAGAGTTTATAGACCAAATAATACTAATTGCCTTTTTTTTTCTATTTTATGTTTCTAATGCTTTATTTCTACCTTTTTGATAATAGAGTTTTATTTTTACTTACCTCAACCTTCAATAAACTTAAAATATCTTGAAAATTGTTAGTATACTTAAAATTTGAACCGTTATGTTGAAGGCATTTTAGAGAGAGTTATCCTTAATGTATATTACTCAAGTATAATTTTATGCGCGAGGTATAGTTTGGTATGTTTAGAAGTGCTTTTTTGAAAATTGTTTTTGGCTTTCAAATCTAAAAGTTATTTTTAAAAGTGTTTAGATGATTTATCAGAATGTTTTGACTTTTCAAAAGAAGTTTAAGTCAAAGTTATAAAATGTGATTTCTAAAAAAATACTTTGAAATAGATTTTAAAATTTGTACCAGAGTTTTATTAAGACATTATAAATTTTATTCCAATACTTTTATTGTTTATTAGAAACTTTAA